CCGATATACATGCTAAAAGGTACAACTTAAGCTTTGTCCATGAGTGTACCTTTATAAATTAGCAGTTCTCTAATAACAGGACACCTTTTTAAAAGGATACTTTAGCTCTACAACTAGGTGTTGACCTTTACAGGGAAATTTTGTTGTAATAATATATATATATATTTAATATTTATTTTTTATCTCCTTGATATTTGAAAATAAACACAAAAGTATAGAAATATAATAAGCCACAATGTATAATTTAATTTATCTCTAAGAGGTATCAAATTAAATTACATCTAATACAAAATTTTATGTAACGTCAAAAAATAACTTAAATAATTTATTAGAGTAATTCATAAAATATATAGTTTGGAAAAAAAATCAGTTTTTCTATATATTAATAAAATATATAATCTTCCTTTAAAAAAAAATATATTAGAATAGAAGTTTTTTTTTTTATGTAAGTAGGTCTGTTATAATATGCAAATAAATATAAAATATGCAACTAACCATTTGAAATAATTAGGAGTAATTTTTCTCCATTTTGAAAATACAAAAATTTCCCTTTTTTTTCTCTCTCGTTACTAAAATAAATATAAGAGAAAAATATTTATTTTATTTCTCAACTAAAATACGATCCGAGAATAATTATTGCTTTTCTATTTTTTAACGGATATTTTAATTATAGTAATTTTTCTTTTTTTTTACTTTCGCCGTTTTCTTTTTCTCATCTTAGCTTCAATAATTTTAATTACGAAATTAATTATATTTGCTTTAAAGTCTTAACTTTGAATTAGTAAAAAAATAAAGATGCTTTTGTCGTCTTAATCAATTTGGATTTAAGAAATTTTGTATCTCCTATTTCATAATTCTAATTATATTTCAGTCTTAATTATATATATATATGTATTTATATTTTGTTTATTTCAAAGGAAATATCGTATGCTATTTAACACCTTAATTTAATTTGCATAAAAAGAAGATATATGTAATCGAAATCTCTCTCTAATTAAGAGATTTTTTATTGAACAAAACATTTTTATACTTCCCTATTGGTTTAAGAGAAAATATATATGTATATGTAATATTATTGCAATGTGCCGACGTATGGATGAACTGGCAGTCGTGTACGTAAGGCGAGTGTTGATATTCTTCCCACACGCGGACAACAAGAAACAGAGGCAGGGCTAGATGTTAGCACCGAGAGTGATCGGGGACAGTCCACGGGACAGAGGTAGAGGCCATGACACAAACTTGGATGCTATCTTCGAGACATGGAGAGCGAGTGTGTGTGAGAGTGAAAGGCTGAAGCGGACTGCCGAGCAACACCTCTAGAACATCTGCTGACCCCCTGTCAAAACTTGTCTTGTTTTCAGGGGTCGTCTATAAAGAGTCCCTGGGGGCCAGCCCCACATGGGCGTTGGCATTTTCCTCCTCTCTCCCCAGCTGTCCGCTCTTTGGATCTTTATTTTGACGTCAACATAGTTATATACAATTATTATTATTTTTTGCTTGATTTTTGTATACATGAGTATTTTACGTAATTGTTTTGCAGTCGTGGCAATAATTAAATGAAATTAGTTATCAAAAACAGCTTTAATTGAGCTAAAGTAATATATAAAAAACATAATTTGATAAAAGTACTGCCTGGCTTAAGGCGTAGGAATTTTAAAAAATGAAAAACTTATTTACATAATGTACGAAGGTTTTGAGCTGGCCATCGGGAAATAACAACAATAGAGGTTATATAGTGAAAACGGCGACCTCTGGTGGTCGATTTAACAGAGTAATTTAATCTATGAAATATATTTGAAAAAATATATATATAACATATAAGATATTATAACACTATGCAGCGCTGAGTTTGTGTATACAAAATTGTAATGTCTTGATAAAGGTTGATATTCAGCCAGCCGAAATATTGGCAAAATAAATCTTTTATTAAATCTAATATATGCCTTTTTATTATCTAATTAATATATATATATAGATGGAAAATTTGCCGGGAGGAAATTAATCCATAGAAGCAATGGGCGCCTCTCCCGTCAAAATAAACGTCAAAAACTGACGCCATCTATTGACCGTCGCCGCAACTAGCGGCCTCGGGTCGGTGACAAAGCCACAACACCAGCTTTGGCAAACTGAGAAGCGTCCACCTAGAGACCATGGTTTCGGGCTAATGGCCCTCGTCAGTCTAGGGCGGACTTTATTCCATGAAATCCACACGGGATCTAATGGAATCTTCACAATCTACCAAAGAGGTGTTTTGCTGGCAATGTGGCTGGGCCAAATCTATGGCTAGAATATAGATGGAAAATTTGCCGGGAGGAAATTAATCCATAGAAGCAATGGGCGCCTCTCCCGTCAAAATAAACGTCACCGACCCGAGGCCGCTAGTTGCGGCGACGGTCAATAGATGGCGTCAGTTTTTGACGTTTATTTTGACGGGAGAGGCGTCCATTGCTTCTATATATATATATCAGCCAAATACAATAGTAGAACGGTCTGGAGATTAAACTGGCGAAACTGCTGTAAGGGCTCGCCACTGACGAGCCAAACCCTCCCAATATTTTTCTCACCGTAGTAAGAGCAATGCAATTTTTTAAGTATTATTTTTAAATGTAAATATTTTATTTAATTCAAAATATCTCAGAAACATATCTTAATTATAAGAGAAAAATATTTATTTTATTTCTCAACTAAAATACGATCCAGAAAAATTATTGCTTTTCTATTTTTTTAACGGATATTTTAATTATAGTAATTTTTTTTTTTTTACTTTCGCCGTTTTCTTTTTCTCATCTTAGCTTCAATAATTTTAATTACGAAATTAATTATATTTGCTTTAAAGTCTTAACTTTGAATTAGTAAAAAATAAAGATGTTTTTGTCGTCTTAATCAATTTGGATTTAAGAAATTTTGTTGTAATAATATATATATATTTAATATTTATTTTTTATCTCCTTGATATTTGAAAAATAAAACACAAAAGTATAGAAATATAATAAGCCAATGTATAATTTAATTTATCTCTAAGAGGTATCAAATTAAATTACATCTAATACAAATGTTATGAATACGCCGTTTTCGCCAAATTCATAGAATCTACCCTATCTGACGAGAACAATAACCCGAACCCTGATGTTAGGAGGAATTTTTGAACTTGCAAAACCATATTCCCATTTGCATAATACGTCATTTTGATTATTTTATGAGTTTGCCTAAATACTTTGCTTTATTATTCCTAGTACACGTGGTACAAACCATGATAATCATGGTGGGTATTAGTTGGAGACTGCTTTTACTATAAATGCACCACATGACTACACCCCCCACCAGCGAGTGCAAGTAACCAAATGGGGCTCTGGCATATTTGTAAGTGCAAAAGTCGAACTGCTTTTCACATGTGTAGACATGTGGTGCGCTTACAGTAAAAGCAGTCACTAACTACCCACAATGATTATCATGGCCTGTACCACGTGTACTAGGGATTAGCAAAAAAAAACATGCCTACACGAGTGGAAAGCAGTTCAACATTCACACTTACAATTGCACCAGAGCCCTGTTTGTGATGTTCTTAAGGACGTCAAAGTCCGAAAGTTTGCCGAAATACAGCACAAATATAAGTAACTCGTCGCCTCAAACTTTTATACCTTCTTCAATATAATTCAAGATAATTATATATCAAATTCACGTTTGGTTTCTAAAAAAAAAACACTTTAACTCTAGCTATAAATAGTTTTTTTTAACTTTCTCTATCAGAAAGTCATAACAAAAAGACATCCCAGATTTCTAAACGATGTTTTAAAAAGAAAAGAGAAACATTTGATTTTTTATATTATCATTTATTTAAAAAATAAAAGAGATAGAAGACAAACGACATCCAAAATGGCGGTTGTTTTGTCAGAGCTAAGGACAGTAATGGGGAAAAGATGTAACAATGGCAACGCTAATGTATTTAGTGTCTGAAACCCTTTAAAATCCCACCTATCTTCTTGTAGCAGCACTTTGAAAGAAACCAACGATCTTTTAAACAACATTTTAACTAAGCTTTTAATTATATCTAAATGATAATAATTGATTTAAAAGAGAAAGGATCCAAATAAAATTAATTTATTTTGTAAATTGATGGCACCTTAATGCTTTATTCATTAAAATAACATACAATTCGAACAGAAAATGTTTTATTTTTATCGACATTTCGACAAAAATCTTTATATCTCGTCATTAAAAAATTAATTAAAGCATTTGGCAATGCGATGAGAAATATATATATAAAATGAAAGGATTTAAAAGCACGAATGTTTCTTTTATACATAATACAAACTTCTACTGTCCTTACTGCGATGAAAAAAATATATTGGGAGGGCTTGTCTCATTAGTGATTCACCACTGATGAGCGAAGCCCTCCCAATATATTTTTTCATCGCAGTAAGGACAGAAGAAGTTTGTATTATGTATAAAAGAAACATTCGTGCTTTTAAATCCTTTCATTTTATATGTATAGATGGCGCGTTATTGCTTTGTGTAGAAATATATATTATAAAGGACTGCGGCGTGTGATTATAAACAATACTTAAAATTATACCGCATAAGTTTCTTTTCTATGAAAAATCAATATTTATTTTAAAGAGAAATATTTACTATTTCTAACTTTTTTGAATGAAGTATGAGAGGGTAAAATATGAGAGTAATGGCGAACGGGAAAAATAAAATTGTCCAGGGGCGGGAATCGAACCCACAACCTTCTGCTTACCGGGCAGGTGCCATGTCCACTAGGCTACCCTGGACGTTATTTCTCCGTTCGTAAATAATACTTAAAGTAACTTATAATACATTATAAAGGACTGCGGCGTGTGATTATAAACAATACTTAAAATTATACCGCATAAGTTTATTTTCTATGAAAAATCAATATTTATTTTAAAGAGAAATATTTACTATTTCTAACTTTTTTGAATGAAGTATGAGAGGGTGAAAATATGAAGAGTAATGGCGAACGGGAAAAATAAAAGTGTCCAGGGGCGGGAATCGAACCCACAACCTTCTGCTTACCGGGCAGGTGCCATGTCCACTAGGCTATATATAGCGCCTTGTCAAATGCTTTATTTCTATCTTTCCTGAAGAGGACAAAATATTTTTATAAAGCAATAACACACCGTCTATATATAATAAATGAAAATTTTCAAAGCACGTATGTTTCCTTTTTCATAAAAAATCAAATTTCTACTGTCCTTACTGCTTCACTGATGAGCCAAGCTCTCCTAATATTTTTTTCATCGCAGTAAGGACAGTAGAAGTTTGATTTGTGCGAAAAAAGAAGTATTCGTGCTTTGAACAAAAGGTTTTGTTGAAATGTCAAGAAAATAAAACTTTTCTGGAAGATGTGTCGTTTATTTTAATAACTATGGATGCCGGCCAGGCAACCTCTCTCTTCAGGCTTATGTCTTATGTTGAAATTCTACCTGAATGGCCTTTTTTATTGTTTGCAAAAAAACAATGCTCGAGATGATAGTACTTCTATATTTTTGTCTACTATCCTTTAAGATTATGTCGCTATATGTATCAAATATCTTAAACAAGAATTCCTGTCATGTTCAAGAGAAGATATATAACCATAATAGCTCTATATTATATTTACACTCATGGACAAAACTTAAGGAAGTTGTACATGTTACCATGTATAATGGGATTCAGACAATAACTCGGAAAGATACACTCATGGACAAAACATAAGGAAGTTTTACCTTTCAGCATGTATATAGGGATTCAGACAATAACTCTGAAAGATACACTCATGGACAAAACATAAGGAAGTTTTACCTTTCAGCATGTATATAGGGATTCAGACAATAACTCTGAAAGATACACTCATGGACAAAACATAAGGAAGTTTTACCTTTCAGCATGTATATAGGGATTCAGACAATAACTCTGAAAGATACACTCATGGACAAAACTTAAGGAAGTTGTACCTTTTAGCATGTATATCGGGATTCAGACAATAACTCTGAAAGATACACTCATGGACAAAACATAAGGAAGTTTTACCTTTCAGCATGTATATAGGGATTCAGACAATAACTCTGAAAGATACACTCATGGACAAAACTTAAGGAAGTTGTACCTTTTAGCATGTATATCGGAATTCAGACAATAACTCTGAAAGATACACTCATGGACAAAACTTAAGGGAGTTGTACCTTTTAGCATGTATAATGGGATTCAGACAATAACTCTCAAAGATACACTCATGGACAAAACTTATGGAAGTTGTACCTTTTAGCATGTATATCGGGATTCAGATAATAACTCTGAAAGATATTACAGTGACCTTTATTGAAGACACACGAGATAACCAAGTGTGTACAAAATTGCCTCTGTCTGCTTAAAAAGAAGAATAGGCGACCGGCAACATCAAAGACTTTACACTTGAATTTTGTCCATGAGAATATATATAGCGTATTTGCATAAAGAATAGATTGATGGATGGCCAGAGTAAAACGTTTTCCATTAATCAATGTCACCACTTGAACCAGAAGTGAAATATAGGGACACCTGGGTTAAACCAGGTGGGAAAATGGTCTTAACAGTTTAATATTAGATGGTGTTAAAACATTCCAGAGATTTGTAACAGTTGTTTAAGCTTGGTACAAGCTGGAGTTGCAACATTTTGAGTCGAAATCGGTCTTTTATCATTCAAAATGTTATATATATATATTAAGAAAAAGGCATCTCCTTATCGTGCAACTGAAAGTTGCTGATGGCTGGCGCCATCTATCGGAATAAATATCAACTATTCTCGTTGATTTTTAATTATTCTAGAATTGGCCAAATACCCATTCTTGATTAATTAAGAAAAGCTAACCACGGACGCGTTTCGGGCTGTTGGCCCTCATCAGCGTGGTGCAAGCTGTACCAAAACGACCAAAATATTGGTCATTAAGGCATCCTGAAAAATCATGAAACGGGTAGTTAATTGGCCAATTCTGGAATAATTAAAAATCAACGAGAATAGTTGATATTTATTCCGATAGATGGCGCCAGCCATCAGCAACTTTCAGTTGCACGATAAGGAGATGCCTTTTTCTTAATTTATGCACCTTATCCCAGTACAATGTTACATTTGTACTATTTTTTCATATAAAAATATACAAAGACAGATTCTTCCGGCAAATTAAAGGCCTACCAATGGGCAACCCGATTTCATCTGCATTAGCCAACATATTTATGAACGAAATAGATAAACAAATAATTAATTCAAACCAATTTAAAATAATATTATGGCTACGATATATTGATGACATTTTTTGTCTAACAGAAATAGACATTGACAGCTTCATACGTTTTCTCAATAGTCTCAAACCTTTTTTAAAGTTCACATATGAAAAAGAAAGCAATAATTCCCTAGCCTTTTTGGACATCCAGCTTAAAAGGAATCAATATAACATCGAAACTTGCATTTACAGGAAACCCACTCACACCGGAAACTATTTGAATTTCAGCTCCTTTGGTCCCATACATAACAAAATAGCCGTGGTGAAATCTCTTTCTAAAAGAATAGAAACACACCATTCAAATAGAAATAGTGCAACAGAAGAAAGAAATAGAATTTTCAAAGAATTAATAAATAATAATTATCCAAAAAAATTTATTGAAAAACATTTTTATAAACAGAGAGATATACCTTCAAATAATAGTCGTGATCAGTCTCAAAAAAGATATTGCTCTATTCCATATAGCTACGGTTCGGAGAGAATTGCCCGAATTTTAAAGAGATATAATATAATTACAACATATCAATCTGCACAAAATCTAAGACAAATCTTACGCCACTCAGATACAAAAAATATTTCAAACCAAGAAAATACAACCAATGTAATTTACAAAATTCCCTGCCAGACATGTCAAGCTACATACATTGGAGAAACAGGTAAATCACTTAAAGATCGTATCAATCAACATAAAGCAGCTTTAAAAAACTACAAACCATTATCCCTACTAGTAGACCACTCCCTAAACAATAGCCATATACCAGATTTCAAACAGACCACAATTATATACAAAAACATAACAGAAAAGCATAGTAGACTGTTTTTAGAAAGTTGGGCTTCTGCCGAAGATAAACAGAGTATAAACAAAAAAAAAATTGATTTTCCAGAAATTTATAAAGAATTCATATCTTAATTATTTATAAATAACTATGTATATACCTTTTATTTAATAATTTATTTTGCTTTAAAAAAATTTTAAATTTAGAATTAATATGTAAACACAATTTTTTACAATTACACTGTATTGTATATAAATCTCTATATCTTCCATAGATAAAATAATAATCTATAAAATTAAATATAAATATAATTATTTGCTGTATATAAACTGAAGGCAATAGTTGAGTCAAAGATACAGTTCTTTCATTGGCCTTGTAGAACGAGAGTGGTGTACGCGTGCGCGCGTGTTCTAGTGAAAAACAAACATCCTCGATAAAGAGAGGCGAGTTGCCCCTCGAAATATTGGAACAATAAAAATAATTAGAAATCCAATATATGCATCTTTTTTAAATATATATATATATGTCGCGTTATTTCGCCTTATAATAAAGGAAACAGCCAATCAGCGACTAAAAAGAATGAAGTGGACTCTAAAAAGTGGTTTTACTAGTTAGAAAGTTTTAGAATGTGGCTTGAAGGTCGTTAGATGAGGGGTATACACCGTTCATTTCCGAAATCCATGACCCCGGTATCGAATCCCGAATTTGGAACTTTTTTCAAAAAATAATTGCCTTAATGACCTCCGATTCTTGCAAAATTCCAACCCCACCAGTGAGTGTAAATAATCAATTATTTTCTAGCACACTTGAAATTGTAAATATCAAATTGCTTTCCATATGTATAGGCTATTCGACCAAATTCTGGTTCGTTTCCAAGGTGACTAACGTGGCACCCATTTTCCAATGAAGAGCAAGATAGTGGATATTGCTGCTGCTGTGATGGAGATACATGGAGACATCTAAGACTCTTCTTTGGACACGACAACAACAACAACAACATGTATAGGCATGTGTTGCTTTGACAGTAAAAGCTGTTGTCAACTACCACCCACCATGATTATCATGGCCTCTATCACGTGACTAGTAATGATAATAATAATAAATAATGATAATAAAACATGTGACATGGCTTATCGAAGAATAGCCAGTCTAACGGTCGGGACTTATTTACCAAAAGGTTAATGGTGATGTTTAAACAAAATTTGGGAAAGACAATTTTAACTTTCACCATTATGCATAAAAATAATGTGTTTTAATGATAAAACATTCCATTCTCTTCTTATAACGTGGGTTATATTCAACTCTGACATTTCTAACTATCAAACAATCATCAAATATTAAACAATGAAAGGTCCTAAATTCAATATTTTCCTGAGGATAGAGATTGTCTGGCCAGAATTCATATATCTGTGAAAAATAGACACTTCGGCCAGTTTAATTATTTATTTATTTCTTCTGACGAAGACAAAAGATTTTTGTCTAAACATTGAGAAAATGAAAACTTTAACTGGCTGAAATGTCTATTTTTCACAGAAAAACAATATTTGTCGTAGCTCTGGTTAATTTATCACAAGTTAAACTATAGTTTAATGAAAGATTCATAGATCATAGAGACTTCTGATGGCTATAGATATTACCGAAATGATCTGGTTATATTTGAGAATCGTGTAGAAAATTAAGATTTTAAAAAAATTAATGAAATAATCTAAATAAAGTAAATGAAT